TTTTTTTTTTTTTTTTTTGAATTAAATTTGCATTCATACAAAAGTTCTTCGTCGTTTTCTTAGTTTCTTTCTCTTTATTTCAAACTATTTATAAATAGTACAATTAAGAAGTGAGAACTGGTCTCCAACCCGTAAAGGTCATGAATTGAACTATGATACTGCAAGCAGCTTTACAAACATTAAAAGAATTATAGTTACAGTTGAAAAAATATATGATCATATATAAGTTAATGATTTAACAGTATGAGAGTGGACTCTTCCCGTCATTCGCTTTACAGTCATATATATAATAACCTTTTTTTCACTAAAGCATAAGTGGCTCCAAAAAATAAAGAAGCTTTAGAATCGCTTATTCGGCAACAGGGCTTCTGAAGGAGACATTTCGGGTTTGTTTTTCCTAAAGAAATGCCCAATAAATATTTTGATAACAACATCTTCCAGATTCTAGAAATCAAGGTAACTGGGCTTTTGCAGGCTTTTGACATATGCTATATTGACAATGGAAAAACATACTGAAATCTGATGTATAAAGCTCCTTTTCAAAATTGATGTTTTTGAATGTTCATTGTTCTCACCATTTTCGTCTAATTGATTTACTTCTTCACAGCTAGTTGCTTTCAGTGTACTATTCGCTGATGAAACTGTTTCCCAACTAATACTAAAGAACCGAGGTAAGAAAAGAAAATAAGTTGATGGTTACAAACAAACACAAAACTTTTTAGGCGCGGAGGCTACAGTCGTCTCCTTTGAGGAGTTTAATTCAGCATTTTGCGTTTCCTGTGAGCATGGTTCGTCGGGATTCTTTGAGGCTTCTTCATGGTTGTCCTCCAAAACAACTGCTGCCTTGTATAAAAACTCTAAAGTTATTTGTGAAACTCGCTTTTAGAAATATAGTTACAGAACTGCTTCAGACCGCAACACCAGCATGAGGGCATAACTGTATAACTGCTGTTATATGAATAAATAACAAGTGAAAAAGAAAATTAGAAAAGCAAAAAAGTAATTATAGTTTTGTTAAAAATGATGAATTAGGGAAAAGGGTTTTGCAAAGACACTTTCTGGTGCTTTCGGCTAGGCCACTAGCATGCTATTTCCAAAAAAAAAAAATTTTTTTTCCAAACCTATTTCCAAACCTTACTGTACAAAAAATGAAATACTGCACTCCTTGAAAATACCTCGGCTTTTAAGTAAACATATGCAAAACTTTTTCAACAGTTCATGACGCATTGCAGAAATCGGACAGATGATCCGGAGCATTTTGAAAATCACAATTAGAAACTCGTACGTTTGTAATCAAGACTGAGATCCCACTGCAGAAAAGCATCTAGCAAAGGTTCTATCTTTTTCAAAAACATATCTTCAGCTCCATCTGCCTTGAAAATCTGGACCGGATTACCACTTTTTAGAACTTGATAGATCTAAATATTTGAGTTAAATGTTGTTCACGAGCAGAATTTCAACCATCCTTACCTCCAGGCTTCTTTTGATAACAGACTCAGGAATACCAGCAGCCTCTGCAGTGTAGATAGCATACGAGCAGTCGATTATGCCGTCAACTAACTCGTACTGGAACTCCAGTTCACCATTTCTTTCAATAACTTCCATAGTCTCAAATATGTATTATCAAAAGCATATCTGTATATCTTTTCATATCTTTTCTAAACATTTGGCAATTGTTTTTTCCCTCAAAATTTTTTTTATTTTCATGTTTCATATCTTTTTTTTTATTTGGAAAAATTTTCAGGCTGAAAAATTTTTTCCAAATAAAAAAAAAAGGTATGGAACATGGAAAGACTATCCAACAGTAAAAATATGATCCGCAGTAATCGAGCGATATGCAAATTCCCAAAGAATTTGACACAATAGTTTTTGCCAGCTTACAGTACAGCACACTTCCAATCATTTTCCTTATCCAAAAATTTATCCGTAAACAAATTAACTCACTAATCGTTTACATATTACTATGTTCTCAAGCGGTTTGAAAAACTGTAGAAAAACTTGCTATGAGCTCGTAAACTTAAGTAAACTATAATGAATAACTTACTTCTACTCGTACCATTAATGTAAATAAAGTGGTAAACTATCCCCTTTTTTAAACAAACGAAAAAACTCAATAAAAGGAATTAGAAAGTTAAAAATAACAATAAAGTTATGACCAAAATAGTTTTTAAGCCAAAACTATATAAATTACGTGATATGACAGTATAGTCGAATCTTGATGGAGAAAATTCATGAGAGAATGAAAATGTGAACTGACAAATACATGGGGACACAAAGATTTTCCTCTGTCAATCCAAGAATTCAGCGAAGCAGCAAGCAATGATACTCCAACTTCCTTAAAAAACTCACGATGTCTTTTTGACCACAAAATATCGACAAATAGAATAACAACCAAAACCTATAAACTAAGTTCTTCAAACATTATCACTTCATTGTTAAAGAAGAAATGCTTAGATCACTTCAGTTTCCATACGATTCTCACTTCAGCCTCTTATTTTAAAGATTTACAATAAAACAATACTGATAAACAGTTCATACTAGACTAACTTACTGTCAAAGTACCTTTACCAAATTCATCTATTATGATCAGTGACTGACCCGTACTTCTCCGTAAACAAGATGCCATCTAAAAACAATAGACCTGGATGGCAATAAAACTTCTTTCAGTAGTGAATATTAAGACAAAAATAAAATCTAAAGCCCCTATGTCAACCAACTTCAAAAATTACAGAAGACAATTTTCTAGCAGCAAATAATACTCCTCAGCATTTGAAATCTTCAATCCTATCCTTTCAAAGTAAAGCGTGCCATTCAAAATTACAACCTAGATGATGTAAATATAATAAAATTAAGAGAAACGAAAAACAAGAAAAAAATACGGTATTTCACTTTTATTTTTTTCTAACTGTTACTTGAGCAATGTCTTTTGCGAAAGAAGACAACCCATCAGCTACGCAGTCCACAGTATACAGACGGGTTAAAATGCGATCTATTGGACCAATAACAGCCCGTTCTGCAGGAACGAAACTTCCAATATGAGCAAGAAACACAATCAGACCGACCTGGAAGCTACAGAGACTATGAAGAAAACCAGGTTTTAGAAACAAAAAATTCAACTTTACTAGTATGAAAACTCACAGAAAATACAGTAAACTTCAAGCTATGATTTGCTATATTCTCAAATCTTAATTACCCATTACTAACTAACTATACGATGTGTATAATAAACTAAAGACTGCGCTAAGTCATTACCAATCAACTCTTCAATATGCGACCACACGATCACTGTTTCCAAAATTTTCAAGTCTACGCCTACCTTATTCTTTCAAAAAAATTTTCTTAAAAAAGATATTGTATACGGTTAATTATTTGATTTTAAAATTCATAATTAGCAGTGGCATAAATTTCACTGCACTCTAAACCATATTTAGCTTACTTTCCATTAAAAACTGAAATTTAAAAATTACCGAACTGAATAAGGCAAAACTCATTCTTCTTCTCAAAAAAATTAAATTAGCATAAATGTGCACCAGTGCAACAATTTCTGAAATAAGAATAGGTGTAAGAATCGTTTATAACTGTCAGCCAGATCTAGCTTAAAACATACGAATCGAACCATTCAAATGACAGCGATGAGTTGATTTTAAAAAATACGTTGTCTGACAATTTCTTCACGCACCACGCGTCAGCTAACCTAACCAAACAGGGTGTAAAGCATGTTTCTACGTCGTTTCCTCAGAGACTATGAGGTGCAGAGTTAAAGCCACTTGTCTTTCCACGTGTCTTTTTAACTTTTTACGAGTTATTTATATTTTCTGTTATTCCTGCAGTGTTGATGGCCCTTTTGCCACTAGAGTTCAGGATGCAGTGTTCGAAATTAGTCTTTCATTTGTTATTGTTGTGTATTTTTGGTGCTTTCCTTTCTTGGCTTTGTAAGTTTTTCTTGCCTTTTTTGCGCCTTAATCTCTGTATTGTTTTTGTCTCTTCATTATTAGTCTGTTCCCAGCGATTCTACCTTGGTTTCAACAGTTAAGCGAGTGTTTTCAATGAAATTTTAATTAATAGAAAGGACTCCCAGCTTAAGTAAAAGTTGCTTAACAGAAACCTCTGATAATCCCCAACAAGAGCAATAATTTAAAAGAAACCACTTTTCAGCCGCAGAAATCAACGTTGATCCCAGTGTGGTCGAATGGTTAACATTCTTGACTTCCACCTATGTGGTTTGGGTCTGATTCCCGACATGGGTACCATAAATAAATATGCCTTCCAAAATTGGCTTCTGTCAAATTCTTACCGTTAACAAGTACTTGACTAAAAGCCTCGCTTACGCGATATCTAATTAGGCTAGAAGCCCTTCACATTGAGTGAAGCTTCATTGAAAGCGCTTTTTAACCATGCAAAACAAGACAGCATTGCTGATAACGGATTCAAAAATAAATGGGCCAAAAAAGACAATTCCTGATCACTAATTGCAGGAAGGTAACCAGCAGTTTAAAATTATTATAAAAATAAACCCTAAATCAGTAATGGTCGCACAACAAAATAGCTTCCATTTCGCGCTTTAAAATCTTTGAGGAAAGGGTGTAGAAACATGCTTTACACCTTATCTGAGCAGGTTGGATGGAGCCTAGAAGTTTGAGTGAAGTTTTTGGCCAGACAATGCAATTTATCAAATTAACATATTTGGCTTTACTTAATACAAAAGCTCAACGACCGCCGCTGAAACTTGGCTAGTTTGATCCATATGTTTCAAGCTAGATCAAACTAACAGATGAACCTTCTTCAGCATGTTCTCATAACAGAAATCGCTGCACTAGTGCAACCATAAAGAATGAGGAAAGTAATTGTATTTCTTGTACCTGCTTTAAATAAACACTTTTTCCCGAAGCGTTAGGACCTATTATCAGCTTGACTTTCGTCTGAGCACATCCAGAACTAACATGAAAAACCCACTTGAAGAATGAGTATTATTCAATTCAGCTGTGAAGGAAGACAGTTTTTACCGTATTGGGTTGGGCACGAATTTTTTGATGGAAAGCAACTCAGCTAACGGATGTCGTGCCTTATCTACATCGATTACGGGTTCATCCACTAACAGCGGGCGATGCCAATCATACTCGCATGCTGCTAGCGCCAGTGAAATGCAACATTCAAGTTCTGCGCTCCGATGAATAGCTTGTAACAATACGCGCCTATGTCTGCATACAATTTTCTGCAGCCTGAAACACTCAAAAGCATTATAAGTTCTACGACTTATGCTTCATGCCACTTGTTTTTTAGCAGTATTTTGTTGAAAAAAAAAACAGTTTATCTATTCCACCAGTCAAACTGCCACAGGTAAAAGCAAAACATTTATAATGTAAAAAAATGTTTGCACTCCTGTTGGAATAATTATCACTAAATTCTAAATATTCATTTCTTGGTTGACATATTCATCACACATACCAGAATATTCTGAGAAATTTGACAAGGCTTCTCAGAACAGAAATGACAAAGTGAGACAGAAAAATAAACCAGAAGCTGTTTTTAAAAAACTAAAACTTTATTGTAATTCACCCTTAACTATAAAAATAATATAAAACCAAGGATTTTTTCTGGACCTCAAGAATAACATCATTGTTATTACTACAATTCTTATTCTTAATAGTTATTATTATTTTTGCTCTTACTACTTGTCATTCTTATTATTTTCAGTGTTAATACCAATTATTATTCTTGTTATTACTGTTGTTATTAATTGGTCTCTATTGTATTATTAATATTATCCCCATTATTCTTAAATGTTGATTATTATTTGTATTATTACTATTGCTGTTACTACTCATATTATCATTACTATTACTCTTACTACTATTTTTATTATTACTTTTACTATAAGTCATTATTTTAAACCTTAGCATAGTAGTAGTCTCGATGTCACTAATTTCCATTTTGATATCACCAATTTGTTGGTCCAGTTGGTGCATTCGAGAACTCTTATAATGTTTCATCCTCTCCTCAGGCAGTTCATAAATTAGCTGTAAGTCGTTGTGAAAAGAAACGTCTGTTTCTGCTGGTAATTCTAACAGGTAACCAAACATTGGTACATATACAACCGAACAAGCATCTACGTCTATAAAAGTTTTAATTACTAATTAAAGCAATTAAGTTACTTTACTGATTGCTTTAAATATAAAACCTCAATATAGCCTTCCTTTAAAAATAAAAAATTCAAAAACAAAAGTATCACTTTACTCACTTTTAAAAATGATTGAAAGCAAAAATGTAAAGTCTAAAATATGCCAAAAAAAAGTCAGAAAGTCTAGAAAAAAGTTTTTATTTAAAAAAATGCTTGTATTAGGCTTAATACTACGGAAATTCAAAAGAAATCATTTTGTTATGGTAGAAGGTTTTGTCTACACTGTACCTCAATATCCATAGAATTCAAAACAGCTGTTAATAGTAGCAGTTACCTGTCAAAAAGCACTGAACCAAACTTACTTAAATGTTCTGCTTCATCACGAGCGACTTTGGTTAGGAATTCTGGAAGCTCCCGATAAACATCCTTCACTAAAGAAAGTTTTTGAGTAAACATTTAAAAACATTGAAAAAGCCTTCAAGCGATGTGCATTAGAATGTGTCATAAAAGACTGCTGAATTAAAAAAAATTTAGAAGAATATAAACGATTAAGATGACAACAGCTTGTTACTCATATCTTCTAAAATCACAAAATAAGGTATCATCGTTGCCGAAGTGTTACTGAGGAGAAAAGCGGTAACTTTTTATATTTTTTCTGAGAAACTTCTACGGGATATCGTTCATAGTTTTTGAAAAGCTGTACATCTTCAATCAAAAGTTCTATTGTTTTATTATCAAAAT